TTCTTCATCGGCTCCCCTTCCCCTGCGCCATCTACTGTGCCCATCACTGCTGGTCACGATTCCACATGATCCACATGCAGCAAAGACTCAGTAGATGGCACCATGTTTCCACATGATCCCGCATGCAGACACAATCACACAGAATCACACACCAGAAGATGGCCCAGTAATCGGGAGCTCATCCATTTTCCACCTTCAAGAGGGCTTGCTCTCTCGCCAGGGATCATTTCCACTGGCCTGTACGCGCCGTCACTTCCGACTCTTCCACTCTCAAGCTGTCTTAAACAACCGAGGAGGAGCTGAAAAACCAAGCTTTCTGCAAGATGCTTCCAAAGGCATCTGCCGACTCGCGGCATCCTCTCAGCGAAGGTGGCCACACATACCTCCTGCAGGTAAATCTCCATGACTCTACTCGAGGGCCACCTTCCCCTCCGTCTCACCATTTCAGCATCCTCGAGGCGCTGCAACAAAAATGTCGTGCCACCAGGGCGCAAAGAGGCTAGATCATAAGGGACCTGGCCTCCAATCTTCACAACCTGTAGGCCGAGGGCCTTCTGCAGCATCTGAAATCTTGCCATAGCTTGCTTTCCTTGGGCATGCTACCGAAGGTGGCCGTCACAAGTTCGACCACATCTAAAGGGTCGATGGCGCGGACTGGTGGCGCGTCGCGGAGCCTCAAGTTTTGGGTTGTCTGATCTGCAAGAGCGCAGATCGTGCCAGGTGCTCCATCTTTCTTTTGGAGCGCCCCTTGCAAGGACCTCTCCTACCCTCAAGATGCCTGTCCAGGTCATCAATATCAGGGAAGCTTCCACCGGCCAACCCCAATAGCAATGCAAGACCGCCAAAGGCCAAAACTACAGAGAGCGGCGTCGCTGGATGGTGGGCATGAGGTTCATCAGTGACCCAGGCGAAGGCTAAGTCCCAGGCACCAGCTAGCAATCTCTTGAGTGTGGGCCGCTTGGCCGCAACAGCGTTGATGGTCTCGCTGTAGCGACCATGCGACTTTCCTGAGTAAAGAAGCTGCTTTCCATACGTGACCAGAGCTTTTGACACCAATTCCGCATCAGCTTCGCGCTTCCCCAACAACTGCTCCAGGGTGAGGTGCATGTTCTCAACAAGCAATTGGTCAAGTAGCTGCTCACACCTCGTCCGTGTCTGGGGCCTCAAAACCCTGTCAGCCAGCAAGGTCGTCTCCACCCTTCGCCTAGCCTTCTCAGTCTCTTCCGAACCAAGAGGCTCCAGTGGCATGGCTAAAGCTCCATGGCAAAAACGGGCTCTGGCGCCGGTGGGTGAAAAAGGACCTTGCTTCAAAACCCTGGGAGTGCCCTAAGGACAAGTAAACAAAAGAGAGGGAGGAGCATCTGCAGGAAGCCAAGTAGTAGAAAGGAGAGGCGGGCAATAAGCTCCTCAAAATCCAGAGGACAACCACAAGGGCACGGAGGGACAGCAAAAGTCCAAAAATCCACTGAAGTCCAAAAATCCACAAAGTCCACGAAGGTCCTTGGGAAAGGACGGCCAGTGGGCCGAGAACCAAACTGTAATCGCCTCCTCAAAGCCCTTGACATTCTTGAGGAAACACCATGCGCTAAGCCAGGCCATCTTTGAGAGCCTACTGTAGGCTGCTCAACTAGAGCCGGAGCTTGATGTAGCGCACAAACCGAGGCGATGATGAGGCACCTGAAGCAATCACATCCCCTCGCAATGTCTTGGGACAAAGTCTATTGTAACCGAGGGCGCTTGTAAGATCTGACAGAGGGGCGAGCCACCGGCGAGAAAGTTGCGCAAACTGGTTCAATCATGGCCGACTTGATCCTCCTCTGCCTGATCATATAGATCACCCAGTCCAAAAGGTCAAGGCTGGTGATGTCAAAGTGCTTGGAATCAGACAGCTCTATTGGAGGCGCAACAGTATAGCCCAGATCGGCTAAGCTGCGAGAAACGCCAGCTGAGCCCCCACATATTTCGATGAAGTCGAAGAAGAAACCAAGAGCCCTTGGAGGAGGTTCAGTCATAGGGTCTCTGAGTTCATGTTCATCATCACCAACAATGCGCAAGATCTCTCTGGGCAGTGGGTCTAGAACAGTATAGGGTCACCTTTCTTGTCTCCTCCAAGGCACATGATCTCATCTAGACCTTCAGGTAGTTGACGAGACGCAACCGCTCCTTTGTGCAGGGACGCATCAGTGGCAAAGATCTTTTGGTGGTAGGGCACGGTGACATTTGATGCTGCGACCCAACCAAAAATTGAGGCGAGCGCCAGCTCATCAGCCGCTGACCGAGAAAGCTCAAATACATCCGCCTTCTCTGTCTTCTGTTTAGAGGCCCCGAAGGCGTAGATCTTGGAGAAGAGGCATGTCAGGCATCTCCGGAACATCATTACGGAGGTCCAGTTCCCAGCCAACTGCGCTGCCAGCGAGGAAGAGATAATCCTCATTGAAGCGATCCGTAGGGATAGCGCTGACAAGGCTAGCCTCTTCTCAGCAGGCGCGCCAACCGCGACTATGCCTCTAGATCTTGCTGGACCTCCGCCCCAACAACTTTGAAGTGAGTCGGGCCTCTGATATCCTTCTCAGGTGATCCCAGCACCTTCTCCTTCTGGTAGGCCTGGATTGCTCTGTCGAATGCAGCGACTGGCCTTGATAGAGGGCGCTGATGGGAGAGGGCTTCCTCCCTTCTATCCATGACCCGTGAAACTGTGGATGTGTTGTCGACCAACTTGGCTGCAGGAGTAGATAAGAGCTCAGGCGCGGGAACTGTGAGAGCAGGAAAGGACTTCATTGTTCCCCCTCCTCTTGTGCGTCGCTCTTCTTTCTCCAATTTCTTTTTGGGTGCTTTTTGGGGTTGATCCTCCTTCGCCGGCTTGGGAGATATCGTTTCTCTTGCTCACAATGAGGTCCACCAGCTCTTTGATGTAGCCTTTCCTCTTGCATAGCCCGCCAAGTTGCGATTGGTGAACACCCTCCTGCAGGGCTAGTAGAAGGCCAATGTCCATCAGAGCGGACAGCTCCAGGCAAACTGCCAATAGAGCTGTCCCATCCCGAGCTGCACCTATGCTGTCGTTCTGGAGGTGATCGAGGATAAGGGCCACTTGCCACATGATTTGTCCCAGATCTCTGCACTTGCATAGCCGCTGGTGACCGCGTTGAAGAAGGTTCCTCTGTGAAGAGCTAACTCCTGCTGAAGACGGACTCTCCCCTGGGCACCCTTGATGCTCATGCCTCCTCCACTGTCCACCTTCTCCTTCAGTACCTCGCCCGCCATGGCACTGCTCATAGGTTCCGTAGAGGCTTGTGCTTTGTAGGAGTACGGGTCAATGAATTTCGCGGAGCTGGCATATCGTCCAGGAAGGATGCCAACTTCTTGGGTGTGGAAGCAGAGCCAGGATTCCTCCTGCGACTCTGAGTTCCCGAAGCACCCATTCGACCCTCTACTGAGCCGGATAGGCCACTCCAGCGCCCTCAAAGTAGATGCGAGCCTCCGTCTTGGATGGCCGGGCGTGACAAATGGTATGGCTGTGAGCACAAAGGCGAAGAACTCTCGGGAGCTATGAAAGATCTGAGGATCACCACCCTGTGGTCCCCGGACAACGCACCACACCCTGTTTGGCAAATCAATGGCCTCGGTGCGAAAAGGAGAGGAGACTCGTCCCTGCTGCACCGCTCTAGCCCACTGACCTGCTTTCCAAGCCCGCCTTGCTCGATCTGTGGCTGAGAGCTTCGATCCGGAGAGGCGAGAACTTGCAGCACCAATCCAAGTAGCAGGGCAATTGTCAAAAGAAGCCTCAGCAGAGGAGCGAGTCTCCCCCGTGTAGACGGAGGTAGGTCTTGCCCTGGAGAATCCGAGTTGCTCCTTCGGAGGAAAATGCACGCTGGATCTCTGTGGCCACCGAAGAGGTAGGAGCAAGCGTTGAAGGGGCACTCGATGTAGGGCCGTGGTTGCCGGAGGCGACCTGCTGGACGAAGCTGGCAGCAGTAGTAGGAGGGCCTCGCACGGTAACAGCAAGGCCTGCAAACTGAATGTCGAGTTCGACCACCTCTGGATCCTCACTGCCGCTTCTCATGCAAATACTTGGCCAGCCTGGATGAGGTGCCCTCTCGGGAGCAAGGCGAAGGTGCAGATTCCAGACCGTTGAGGCGAAAGTGTGGCAAGAGGAAGTAAGCACCGACGAGGCTGCAGGAGATGCTAAAGAGGAGGCCAAGAAGGAAGGAGGCCAAGACCGCTCCAAATCCAAAGGGGCAAGCGAGGCCGAAGAGGTTGCTTGTCAAGCCTAGGTGAGCAAACCTCAGAGCCGAAGCTAAGTCCATCCACTGTATGCTTGAGGAGCGGCGAAACATGAAATCACTCCTACCACATCAATGAGAAGAGGGCGGGAGCGGACAGGGGGTGGAAGCGCAGTTGTACCACGGCGTACCTCACTGCATCACAAATTGCCAGAGTACACTTCCCAACATCACAATCGCAAACCGTCACTTCACCACACCACATCATGCGGCAAGCCATCAGAACTCCCTTCACATTTCATCACACCAAAAATCACCGAGTTCTATTTCGCCATGTGACAAGTCAGCACGTCACTGGATGTCGCGCATCTTCATTGCAAGACCACTACATCACCGGCCGCAAAACAACACAATACAACACTCTTATAGTCACTTATAGACTTATAGTTTACATATGTTTACATACCTTTATACTTTATACCTTCATTGAAACTTCCGCCCTCTGGCTTTCCTGGAGCTTACCTGCCAAACGTACAGTGTAGTAAGTGGCTGTAACTCCATCAAATGGCTTTGGCACTTTCCAGTCATCCACGTCCACTGGGATATGCATGTTCGAAAGACACGAGCGTGGGGCTCAAGGTATATAGCCTGCCATCTTGGGTAGGTGGTGACCGTTCATTGCTGCGAGAGTTGCATAAAGCTCATCCTTCCTCTCTACCTGGAAGGCTGCAGAATTCAGCAGGACCTAATAAGTTGGACATCCGGCCTTGTACATTTCGCGGAGGAATTTTTCAAAGGGCCATTGCACAGTAGGGCCTCCGCGCTCTTCAACCTGCGCTCTCACCAAATATGTTCTCACTGAAACAGTCTAGATTTCTTGACGTTTCACCAGGACCTTCTTGATCTCAACGTCAACTCTTCGCTTGCGCCAAAGGTCCAGGAGGTACTCATCAGTCCATTTTGAAAAGGCTTTCCTCAATGTGAAACCGTTGCACGTGTGCTCACAAAACCACATCGGACAAGATGCTGAGTCTGCGCAGCATTCTTTAGGACGACAGGTCCTCAGATCTTCAACCGCAAAGCCATTGACGCGGGGGTTAAGAACTCTTTGCTGCTGGGAATCGGTTTGCACGCACATAGTCCTGGTAGAAGGTCTGCCAGTCAGGAAGGCCCGTAAGCACCTCTACGGGCTTTGAATGACCCACCTCCTCAGGATCATGTGAATTCCAGGCTGGAAACGTTGAACCATCAAACCAACACTGTGGGAGTGCCTGCATCCACGCACCATGCCCAGGTGTGTCAGATGTGCCACCCCCAAAGTCCTTGGCTCCTCTGTAAACAGGCGAGTTTGTTGCACAGCTCGGGACACGGTCCAAAGTGTATCGAATGATTGGCATTCCAGAGCATAAACTTTCAAAGCCCTTTCCTGGCTCTACCTTGGGGCCGCCGTACGTTTCCGTCGCTTTCCATTCGAGAAACTGCGCACAGGAACACAGCCTACAGCACGCCTAATCTCAGGCCAGGAAGCTGTTGGTGGAACAGGAGCCTTGGCCTCTCCCAGCGTCGAAACCTCTAGCTGCTATTGGCACAGACTTTGGTTGGACTCTAAAACATTTAGCACAATCAGGCTTGCAACCAAGCAACCCAAAGCAAGAACACCTTTGCAAATGCACAAAGAAACATCTTCCAGGACTGCACACTCCAAATTGGAGCGGTATGGCAAGGTGTTCCTGGTGCGACAGAAAGGCAGAGTTATATTGAGAGACGTTTTCTTATCTGCACCCTCACAGCTGCTCCTGCTCCATCCTGACACCCTGTTCTGCTTTGTGACAAACAAGTAGAGAAACAAATTGTTGGTTCAATGAATTTGCGCAGTGTATACAGTTTTGCTGGTCGCGCTCCTCTGTATTTGCCAAATGCCAATTGGCTTCGATTCACATTGGGCAACCTTCTCGGGACTCCATCTGCTCAAGCAGTCAAGGATTGGCTGAGCAGCTCCAAGAAGAGCCACGACACACCCTGAAAAGATTGGACTTGGACTTGGATCTCAAGGATCATATTGTGCGATCTAGTCTGCAACCGCGGCGTGCACTGGCTTGCATGCTTCATTCTTTGTGGCAGCGCGCTTCAAAAAGCACAGCCCCCCAAAATTCAGAGTATCCAAATAAACGCGTCCCACCTTGAACCCCACATAGTATGACAAAGTGGGCATGCAATGCAGTGTGACTTTTCCAAAGGGAACGTTCAGTGTTCACACAAGATCACCAAGCTTCAGGCTGGGCTGGCTGGGCGATTCGGGCATGTCCTTCAACCAAGCAGTGCAGCCGACAATGTCATAGAGTCTCATAGAGTCATAAAGCTCCTGGAGGCTGCTCACCAATGGTGGGGGGTGCCTGAAGTTTGGCTAGCATCCTCGATCCCATTCGGGCGCATTCGACATTGGTGGCCGACCAAAAGAATTGCACCACGGCGGAGGAGACTTCCCGAGGATGTCCAAACCTGTGAGACCACACGGCCAAGCATAGGTGATGTCGTCTAATTGATGTGCCAAGCATAGCAATTCTCACCACTGGGGTCAAGGACTGAGACTGCGCATAGACTTCTGAGCTTGGCGCCTCACGATTTCTCTCGCGGGACTGACTTCTGCTGAGGTTCAAGAGAAAGGAACAAATCAGATCCTCTGATACTGGACCACCTGAAAAATGGAAATGAAATGAAACCGAAGCCGAGGGTCCAAGGGTTCAGCAGCAGGCGGAAGCCACATGTTATACTACAAACAAGATCAGGTCCTACTCTCAACTTGCTTTCTACTGTCAAGATAGAAGACCCACCGCAACTTCCTGCTCTGAGGCACGGTTTTCCCCACAACACCATTGCTTGTCCGCTCCAACTCCCCGACAATTTTTTGCGCTGGTGGTAGGGCTTGCAGATGGTAGCAGGTGTGCACCTTCTCAAGTCTTGAGGCATAAAGGGAAATAGCAACCAATGATTTGATGCAGTTGGGCTCTTGACTTTGCGCAAGTAGGATCTTCGGTTATGAGGACAAAGCTGTCAACAAAGCTGGGATTGGTTTTCAAATGCTGAGCCCCCATATCTTTAAATGTTGTCTTCGTCTTAGGCATCACCAGCATCGACAACAACAAGTGTCAAGTCATTATCAATTCAAACAGTCTTTCTTGTAGCAATCCGACAGCCAGGCCTCCCGGTAGACGGTGCTTAGGTGATAACGCCGCACTTGTTGTTGACCCAGGGCCTTCAGTTACGAAGGCCAAAACGACCTTTGACTTCAAACTCATCTCAAAAATTATCTTCACAAGGGCCCAAATCAGGAGAACTAGGACCTGATTGAGTAAACTCAAGCTTGCAGAAGCAATTTTTTGCACAACATGCCTTGAGAGACGAGAAATGCATGCCGCATGCCCATGTGTATTGTTGCTGCTCCTTGGTTTCCCAGCTTGTCCAAGCTCCTCCTCCTGCAAAACTGCACAACAAGCAAAACAATCATCAAACAGTAACCCCTGTGTGCGTGTGTGTCTACCTGCCTCAGCATCTTCTCTTTGCGCATGCCGAGCAGCTACTGCACGGATGAATGGTTCAGTCCTGAGCGCGACATGATCGGCACTGGGTGAGCTTTCTCCAAGAAGACCGAGTTTGCAGCAAATTTGAGCGCAGCTCCACCAGGGTGTTGCCGGCATCCTGAGCCACAGCAAGATTCACAGCCATTTCAAAGCATTGCCAGGTTGAAGAATGAAGCGAAACAGCATGATACCGAATACCGGTTGCCTGCGTTTCTCAGAAGCAAAGGGTCTGGCCACTAAACGCACAGCCTGCGGCATTGAAGGGCCTTTGGCCAGCACCTTAGACTTGTGGTCGGAATCAGGCGCATAAGGTGGACAAGACTTGCACTTTTGTGCATGCATGAAGGTTGAGATCAAGCACACAAGCGCCCCGCATTGCTTGACAATTATGGTTCTTTCATGTTGCAATCCGCATATTAATGTCGCCTCTCCCGGCTTTAAAGTGGAACCTCTGCAACTCTCACTCTCTCCCCCTCTAGCGGCATGTCTCGTCACTGAACCGTTTCACAAACGCCCTACTTCCACTACCCCAAGAGCCCAGGACCAGGACCATGGGGACAACACAGAACTGACGCGGGAAAACTACTAAACTTTGGTAACTGAAGAGTAGTAGAGCATCTGCCAAAGCAGGGGTTCCACGGAAGAGGACTGTCGAGGACCGTGCAGGCATCCGCCAAGTACCGGACAGGTCTACATGCAAGAAGCGCAGTAGCATCCACTGAGGACTCACTGGACTCAGACCGCAGTCAATGTATCATATGGTATCTATGTCAGTCGGAGGAAGCTTACATGCCTAGCTGAACGCGCCATCCCAACTACAGGTCTGTATGATATCGTTGGTAGCTGGGCATCTAGCTGCCTAGCATCTGATATCTCTTGAAGTAGGCGGCGCCCAAGTGGTCAAACCCCTGTTTGGATCTGTTTGGGAGGATGTGGGTGAGCTGCCGGGTGCGGATTTCCCAAGCCTGAAGCGCACGCCTGGTCATAGCGACATGGAATGGAGTTCATGGACTCGCTGTTTGGAGGAGCGGGAAATTGGAGCCAGCAACCCCCCACCAAGGCAGTGAGCACCCTGAGCTTTGGTGTCTCAGGCGTACGATGAACCTCCCCAAGGACACCGGCTGCATCCGGCGTATGGGTGTTGGGACAGTTCCAGCCTGCCAAACACTGCACGAGCACTTCACTGCCACAAAGGTGAAGGGAGTGTGCACATCAGTGAAGGCATTGGCGACTGCAAATCCTGAACCATGCAGTCAAGTGATCACACTCCCCTGTTTTGTGTGTTGGGTCTTCTCAGGTTTGGAGGAGAGGGGGTTGGACGGAGAAGATGAGGAGAAGTGTGAAGCAAAGAAAAAAGCGGGCGCCTGCCACGTTTGATACATGGAGCATGGATGTCATGTCTGGAGGCTGTGAGGGAGGCTCTGGAAGACTTTGGTGGCGAGTGGTGAATCTCTTTTTCTTCTTCTCAAAACTTGCGGTTTCGTGTTTGTTGGCGAGGAGTATTGAAGCCGTGGAGGCCGTGCGAGGAAAGCTTTGACAGTGTGGTGGAGGCCATGGAGACCGTGTGCGTATGTATGGGGGCCAAAGAGGAGTTCTATGCATGTGTCATGTCGGATCAAAAGATTTATGAACCATGCTAACAGGTCAAAATGAAATGGGATGTCTAAGAGACCAAGGGAAAACAAAGTTTGATCATGAGCACCTGTACTTGATGAGGTAATTGGAGGTCAATAGGGCAAAATGCATGAATGCAATATGAGCTACCATGCTGAACAATGATGAACAATGAACGAGTTGAACATGAGCGCAAAGCGAGGATAAGTTGACATAACCGACATAATCATCATTGATGTGCGATGAGCTGAACAAAACCAAATGACATCCCAAGTGGTCTATGTATACATACATGTATACTAATTGTAATTTGTTTATAATTACACCACATTCTAATTAAATTCTAATTTAGCTTCTTGTTTCTACTAGCTTCTTGTTACTACTAGTAAGGCACTTGTTACTAGTAGCGATGCCCTTTGCTCCTAGTAGCGTCCTTGCTCCTACATGTATAATACGTATATGTAAACCTGTGAAAGTCGGATAGCCTAGCAAGTCGAGCGATTCAAAATTTGCAAATCTCCAGCTAGCCAATGCTAGCGCTTTCGTGACTTGTTTCATAACTCTTAGTGTCTTCCAACTGAGCCGAGGATGATGCTTGAACACACAAAAGGAGCGCTTAAATGGTCAGCTCAAGTAGGGCACTTACAAAAATATGACTTCCTCTAACCAGAAGATTCGATGCAACGGCACGGTTTGGTGACTTTTCTCCACACCAGTATGCACCACGCACAATACAGTACACCTTTGTTCTGACATCTAATATTCAACAATGTTAAACGAATAGCAAAAGCATGCAAAAGCTCAACGCAGTCATGTACAAAACGTTGCAAAACAATCCAAGTCTGCTAGCGTGCATGGTGCCAACTGCCCAGTCACAGTAGGATCATGTAAGTTTCAGGCAGCATTGCTTGGCCTGATTTGTGTTGCAACATGAGCTGCAGTCACACCACCACAACTTGTCGCAAACAACCGTGAACAAAGTCAAGGCAAACCCCCAAGTGAAGGGCGAGTGAGCACCACCTTCTGGCACTTCTCTGCGTACTGGTCGCAGCAGTGGGCACAAATCATACACCTCACAAAAAAGTGCCGCTAAGCGCTCAGCCAACACTGCAAAAGCTGAAATTGAAAACATGCTTGAGGCCATTGCTGCAGCATGCTTCCGGCAAAGATCACGAAAAAGTTGCAACCTTGTGTAGGTGCATGCATAACATATTCTCGGGTTGTGTCGGTCCTGGGTATCCAAGGACATTGCACAGCATCCCTGGCTTCAGCTTCAGCCTCAATTGTTCGGGCCTCCGACACCGCAAGTCAAAAAGATTGTTCCATGAATGGCGATGTGCTCTTCAGCAGTCTGTGGACATTCATGAAAGTACAAAATGCTCCCATGACGACAATGTCAGAGTATCTTCCTTAGATGTCGTCTTTGTTGAACAGTTTGTTGACCAGCACTTTCGACAATTAATCGAACCATCAAACCATCGGACCTGAGCTTGAGGGAGCAAAAAGAGCTGCTCGAAAAAGGGAATGTCCTGCAACAACAATTTGAGGACCTTTCTTCTTCCAAAACTGGCACGGCCTCATTCATGACCGTGAATGCTTGTCAGTGCATCAAAGTTCTTTCTCTGGTTGGTGCTGGCACTGCGATGACAAGCTGCAAATGGCTGCACATCGTGGAATCAGCCATCCTGCAAGAACTAAAGCGTCAAGAAGTCCCTGGAGCATTTGTCAACATTTGTTAAATCTCATCTCAAAGTAGACCTCTGACTTATGCCCATGGCACACAATTTGCCGAAAGTTGAGGATATAGATGTTGCTGGCCTGACCTAAAGAAAAACCACGCACCTCATTCAAGAACAGCACGTTGCCATGAAGAAGCACTCTAAGCAGTAACACCTAAGCTTGTTGTGACATGCCAATTTGTGCCCTTTTGTCACCGAGCAGGCCCCCCCCAAAGCAACGGTCTTGACATTTTAAACATTTGTTGATTAGCAGGCTTGGCCCCTAGCTAATTCATATGGCAGTTTTTCATCCTTCCGCCTCTTCTTCAGTGGCCTGGCGACGTTGTCCGCTCACATGCTGTGGTGCCAACTGCCAATTAATGGGCCAGCAGCTTTCGCAAAGCGCTTGAATGAGTGCAACACGTGGTACGAACATCAGAAGTCCCCAGCGCTTGGATGGTGATGGTTCACGAGACCTTGGCTCAGTCAAGACTTCCTAATGAGTGGATTGACCATTGAATTGCTCCCCTTTCTCACAGCCTGACAGCCTTGCAAGTGCCAATGTCAGTGCAACTGCGACGAAGCATCCAGAGATTCCACAGCGTGTGACTTGCAGCTTCAAGAGGAACAGCTTGTTTTTTCCGCGACATGTTTTTTCTCAGAGCCTCATGAAACTGCTTAGAGTTTCATGACATCAAAGCGTTGAGGGACTGTCACGCCAAGCGATTTCTCCGGCCGAATGCCCAATTGCGTGCGTGAAGTGTTGGTCATAGAACATTCCGATAAGACTGGCAAAATCAAATGAAAACGTAAAGCTGGCATGGCAATGATCTGTCCCAGCAAATTTGCTGGGAGAAAAACTCTTTCGGCAAACAGTCTGAGGGCCATTTATAACACCTTGAAAACTGCACATGCCAAGACTTGTGCATGTCTAAAGGATTGATAGCGTTTACCCTGCAGCTGTCTGCATTGTCAAGGTCGTGTGGCAATTTCATACCGGCTCTAGCCATTGCAGGTTTGCACCCTTGCTAGGCAACACTATGTGTAATATGTATATATATATATATATATTTGTGTGTGATTCTTTTTGCACATGCAAATCACTCCCCCCACTTCACCACTTTCAACATCAATACGAAAGCTGATACAGTCATTAGTAATACATGGGTGTTGATCTAAATTCCTTTATCCGGGACCCGTCATCTTAGCCAAAAAATTACTTTAGCCATCCCCCTGTACATAACGGGGTGACCTTGGATACCCCATTCTATAGCTATAAAAGTGGGGACGCGGAGTTTGGTGTTACAAAATGCTAGGACCTGGAACAAAAAGGTATCTATAAAATGAAGATATCTCTAGTGATGATAGAAATGGGGAGTCTGTTTCAAGTCAAGCTGAAATTGCTCTAGAGAATGCCTGGCCCAACCCTCAACCTCTCAACAAATAAAAATACAAAACACTGAAAAACATTTTGTAGTGCACTCGTCTTGGATCATGAAAATATAGGGTCAGCTGATCCAAAAGGATCTTTGCCGGATGCAACCATTGTTCACCAAAAAGTGCGTCCACTACAAAATGACTATCGTTCAAAAAGGCACCTCTACAAAATGACAGCGTGCAACCTTGCTCTTTGCAACACACTTGAAATGGCTTCCACTACAAAATGGATTTGGTATGACTTGGATCCAAACAAGGCTCCACTATAAAATGTCCGCCCAAGCAAATGATGTCATCATGTTCATGCCAAAAATTGTCACTACAAAATGATGGTGGCTGGTGACATTTGTTCAATGTCTCTGAGCGAAACACTTAAATCACTACAACATGCAAGCACACGAGGTCATCATGGGACACGATTTTTATATAAAAAACTGATTTATATAGGGGCTCGAGCACTCCCATTCTGTAGTGGAAATGCACTGGGGGATCTTTAGCCAAACTTTCGCCTTCCTGCGTTTTATCTTTCGCCGAAGTATGTTGTATTTATGTGTGCCATGTATGTTGTATGATGGATACCAATTTTTTTACGTCAATGGCTTCTTCTTTACTGGCAAATACATGATAAAAACTTCACTGTTTGTCAGCATGTGTCTTCTACTTAACTGTTGACACCCGGTACGTCTCTTTTGTTTCTCCTGGGTGTCAGAAAGAATCAAAATTGCAAGAATCACTGTAGTAGCCGGTCACTCAGACGTACTCATAATGAGCTGGGGGTCAGATGTGGCAGGGTGAACTTTCGCCAATCTTGAGCTGAACTTGAGGAGATGGGGGTGGACGAAAGGTACAGACATGCGGCTGCTGCCACTGGTGCCACTGCTGCTGCTTTCTGCTTTGCTGTGCT